GTAAATGTAAAATGAGAGGATGGCTGATACAGTGTTGATCTGCCTTGTACACAAATTGTAATTTGCAGCTCATCTTTAAGTGGTAATTTACCTACCTACCTATTGTACCACTTCCTGTTTTTGTTCTTGCAGCACTAGGGACTGGACTGAATATCTTGTGTACGCTAGACAGACGGTCTATTACCAGACTATAGTTCCCAGTCATTTTGTAAAATTGTATTTTGGTACAGAATCTAAGCTGTGCAGGCTGGACTAAAATTTACTATCCTCTTGTCTAGCTGGTATACAGGCATACACTCTCCAAACTCACCTTCTATTTTAGTGCTGCTTCTAAGTACACGGCCCCCCCCCACACACACACACCGACTAGGAGTAGGTGTTCTAGGGCTCTTGTCTCTCAGGAATACTGGGGACACTGCAGGTCTTTTTACTAAACCAAAAAGCAGAGTGGCTCATATATTATATGTGCTAATTTCTCTCCCTTCTACTATTATTGCAGCTAAGCTGGTTTTTTCTTCTTGTTGTTGTTGTTTGTTTGTTTTTTAAACTCTAGTCTCTGGTGAAAGTCACGTCTTTTCCTAAATTCCAGTTTCATGGTGAAACTAAGGCGCAATACCTTGTATGGAATGGCTTTGATCTTCTTACTTTGAGAGTTGCAACTCCCAGAAAACATCTACGTACTTTCAGACCCAGATTATCAGAACCATTGTACTGTTTTTACTTCTGATAGTCAGAAATGATTATCATGTTAATGAATCCAGAGCTGTCTTTTCATTATTGAGATTTTTGGAAAAAATGTACAAGTTCAGAGTGTGAGGCTGCCATACCATCCTGACTATTTTCCTGGGACTTTTTTTTTTAAATTTTAGGGAATGGTCTACAGGGTGTTCAGGGTCTCACTATTAGATCGGACTCATAGTGATCCGCCTATTTACAGCCTCCCAAAAGCTGGGGTTACCGGTGCACGCCACCAGGCCCAGTCTCGATCTCAGTCTCAGCAGCCCTGGGGGCGGGGGGTAGGGCTGGCATAGCAGGCCTGGGGATCGAACCTCTGACCCCTGTGCCTGCTTGCAGGTGCTTTAATACACTGAGCTGTCTGGCCAGCCCTTTGTTTTCCCGAGAATTTAAGGGTGGGGAATCCTGTGAGCTTGTTACATTTGGCTTTACTTAGAGTGAGGATTTAGCTTCTTGTATTCTCAGATGCCAGAAACCTATTCAGAATAGTTTCCTCAGAACTTCTGGCTTGTGGTGGAAGGCAAAGTGTAAATTCCCCCACCCCTTTTTTCTGTCTTCTCCCTGCATACAACTATCAAAGTAATTTTTAAAAGATATATATTCTGGTGCTTAAAGTCTGGTGTTTACTTAAGTCATCATTCTTTGTCCTAAATTTCATTACATACATATTTATAATTTTTGGAAGGGCTACAAGAAAATTTAAGACTGTGGAATCTATCATCTCTCATTTCCTCAGAGGCCTCATTTCTCTCTCTCTCTCTCTCTCTCTCTCTCTCTCTCTCTCTCTCTCTCTCTCTCTCGCCTATCCCAAGATCTTGCCTATCTCTGTCTACAGAGTATATAATGGATTATGAACTGTGGTTTTTGCTTTGTTTTGTGGTCCTGGGAAATGAACCCAGGGCAACTTGCAAGCATGAACTCTACACTAAGCTACATGCTTAGCCCTCCTTTTTGTTTTGTTTTACATGCTGTTGTATCAGTTAGCTTTTCCAACACTGGGACAAAGTACTTGGTACTCACAACTCAAAGGAGGAGAGGCTCAGTTGGCTCATGATTTTCAGAGAAGTCTCTATGGTTGGTTGGCTCCCAGGCAAAAACAGAATATCGGAAGGGTGTAGTCATAGAAAGCTCCTTGCTTCATGGCAGCCAGGAAGCAGAGAGACAGGATGGTGGCTGGGACAAGGACAACAATGCACCCTGCCAGCCAGTCCATGCCCACGGTGATCTTCCTTCTTGGACCCGGCACCAGTCTCCAACTCCAAATGTGGGATTTTGAAATCTAAATAACAACAAATGCTTTCACTTTTACATAAATGCCAAATTCAAATAGCATATTTTGTTTTACAGAATAATGCCTTTAAAATGGCAACACAAAGTTTCTTATAATGTAGAGCAGACTCTTTAACTAGCTCTTAAATGGGATTGTCACTGTCACCAATCAAAAAAGCAAAACTAGGGATGTCCCATGCAGAAGTTAGGGATTGCTGAATCTGAAAATACACTTCAGTGACCACAAAGTGCCTTATCTTCCTTCTAAGACAAATTGGGGATCTGCACTCTTAAAATCTCTCATGGAAAGTGAGTTATAAAATATGAGTGTCTCAGAATATTATTATAACCAGGGAGTGTGTTTCTTTGCCTATTTGTCTCTCCTTTTTTCCCCTCTAGATTTCACAAGATTTTTAAAATCTGTTTCATTCATTCTTCTTGCTTGGCTTTTTTCCTCATTTGAAAGAGAGAAAGAGAAAGAGAAGGAAGAAGAAAAAAGAAGGAAGAGGGACGGAGACAGGAAGGGAAAGGGGGAATGTTGAGGTTCCTAATGGGTCACATTCCAGAGATGTGAGTAAATGCAAGTTGTTATCTAATTAGGAAGAGCCAAGAGTGTGCCTTACGGTTGAGGGAAGGGAATTATAAAGAGAAAGAAAAATGTTAAATAAGGTTTACTTTTAGACTTTTTTTTTTTTAACTTAGAATGGTTTTTTCAATCCTATTCAGGGCATATCATGGTTCTCAGACTATAGTGGCTCTCAAAAGTAAATCCAAAATT